GGGGGTGGGGGATGGCAGCACTTGTTCTCCGGTCACCGCGACTTGTCCGGAGAAAAATGCCGCCCGGTAGCCGAGGATCGAACCGCGACCGGCTGCGTCGCAGCGGACGCGTCAGACCACTCGGTCACCTCATCCCCCTGTAAACTATTATATGTCATACATAAGGACATAACGAAAAGGAAATGATCAAAATACTTAATGAGCTGGTAGGTATCTTTATATTATGCATATTAATTTGTTATATTATTTTATTTTATGGAATACAAATTATATATTTATTAAATAAATACCAAATAGGTAGCTAATAGAAAAAAAACTAAATATTCATCCAAAACATTATAACATTTAGAACAAACTGATCGCAATCCCTAGACCCCAGGTTCACAAAAAAAAGAATCACACAAAATAAAAGAAAACGGTTACTCCATAATCTACTATCCAATAACTCATCTAAATTCATCATACAAACCAATCAATGTCATTGATGTGTTATTATAAAATTACAAAATAGAAAGTTGGATTTTGTGTTATAGAAATTAATGACTATATGACTATATATTTTTCAATATTGCATAAATAATATTAGAATAAACTAATGAACGAATAGGTAATAATTAATTGATGTTTAAATGCAACCATACCTGTATCAGTAATTTTGTAATACTTAGGTAGCATCAGCTATTGACTATTGAGTATAAATTACAACTATGTAATTATTACATATAGGTACTTAATAGTTGCTACTTACTAAATAAATGTATACCTACCTACTCAATAGTCAATGACAATAGAGGTATACCTATTATATTTTGTTATAAAAGAACATATTTAACCTTTCAAGTTTCAGGTATAGGGTTGTACCTACATCATTTTGGCAACTTATCGTATATTTAATTAGTTATAAGGTTATCACAATTTAAACTTTCGAGACATCTTAAAGTATGTGGGGATGGAGATAGTGAACTTTGAGTGAATATGGCTGCATCTGAATTGGTATCCCAAAGTACCTAAAAATGTATATTCTTATTGGTTCCCGATACGGAGATACCTATTCGAGAAGGCACACATCCAAATTGGTTTCTGATAAAGTGATAAAGAATTTCGAAAAAGCGATGTTTAATCTAATATTATTTATATTAATATACAACGTACTAGCTGGAAATTTCGAAAGAGGCCCCCCCCCCAGGACCTCGCAGTTAACGAGTTGTGTCCCAACCAAATTTCTCGTACACGAGTTGTGTCCCAATGATAAAAGTGGGGTACACGAGTTGTGTCCCGATGATAAAAGTGGGGTACACGAGTTGTGTCCCGATGATAAAAGTGGGGTACACGAGTTGTGTCCCGATAACACAAGACATTTTTCCATTTCAATGTTGTATAAAATATACCAACATAATATATTTCAAATAATATATATTTTCAATGTGAATTTTAAAAATTGTTTTATTTAAGTGTTTGCCTTATATGAAATATTATTAAAATTATTTTGTGTAGTTATTTTTGCTTTTTATTTATATTAGTTAGACCAAACTTGTGTGTAATCTGAAAAAAACTGGGGGACACAATTCGTGTAACCCGAACAAAACTGAGGGACACAATTCGTGTAACCCGAACAAAACTGAGGGACACAATTCGTGTAACCCGGAAAAAACATAGGGACGCAATTCAGTATTTGGGACACAACTCGTTTACAGCCCAGGACCTAGTGTATTTTTAAATTTTTACCCCAATTCAAAATTTCGTTAAACAATATATTTTTGTTAGTAATGGACGGTGGTGGGTATTTCCCTCCTGCCCACCCTTGGCTATGTGCTTGATAACATAATTCATTATGATTGTGTACTGGTGAATGTATAAAAAAAAAATTAAATAACAAGAGACTAAGAGAGGAAACAATTTGATGCGTAAATAATATTACTTTAAATTATGACTTATTTTGAAATAAAAAACAATTTTTAACCATAACTGTATGCTATGAATACATGTCCTAAGTTGGTATAAAATTGGAAAGTATGGTTGTATGGTACGTACTTATATATACTTACCACGTATAGATTTTACGAATTGTAAACTTGAAATTTGGAAGTTATTCAATTTTTTTCGTTTGTTTTGTTCACCAATTAACTAGGTAAAACCTTTAGAATATAGATATTAGGTATAGCTTTTTTTCTTGATTTTAAGTAGGTATGCTTTTTGTAGGTCTCTAGAAAGTTTCAAGGTTTTTTTAAATTAATAACAATATATTTGGGAAGGTATGGTCGTATGGATAAAATACCTAACTACTAAATCATATTTTTGGTCAAATGATTCCCAACAATATGTAGTTCGTACTTCGTTCAGAAGATGATGAAAACTCTGCCCTTAGTTTTTATAGAAAATCAATCTTCAGATTTAAATAATATTACTTACTTCATATTAATTGTATACTTAATACTTATGCGATCCAATGACCAATATCTACAACCGTGGTTCTATGACAATAATATCAAAATATACGAAATCAAATCAAGAGAATCAGTTGGTACACGATTTGATATCATCATTATTATTAATCCAAGCCTAACCTGCGTAAGATAAACTGGTATAAATGATAACGTGAATGATAGCCGGCGATAAAATTTGGAAAAAGTTAAAACTGTACTAACTACTAGTGTACTGCCTTAGTGCCATAAAAATTACAACGTATTATCCATTAAAAAGTTCGTTAGGTATGCAAATATTATAAATTACACTTCAAGAATAACTTTGATAAGACAATGAACAATGTTTTAAGGACCTGCAGAGGTTTTGTTGTAATTCTTAACCGACAGCCTGTCAAGTCTGTCCAACGAGGGTTTCACTCAACAGAACCATGTTTTGACAAACCTCCTAAGGTTGATGTGGTAAGCGTAGACAGTTTCAATAATGTCCAGGAGAAGAACAAAAAGACTTACTTGGACATGTTAAGAGTGTATCAGATGGAAAAATATCGATCTGGTCACGTAGAGTTTATAAACACAGCAATGAAGCACCTGGATGAATTTGGAGTAAATGAAGACCTAGAAACTTACAAAAGACTCATCCAAGTATTACCAGCGGGAAAATTCGTCCCCCAAAACTATATACAATCTGAGTTTATGCACTACCCAAAACATCAGCAGTGTATCATCGACTTATTACAGAAAATGGAGGATAATGGTAAAATTGCACATTCTTAAATTGATGTATTCTACATTTGAGTTCTTGATGTATTTTTTAGGAGTAATTCCTGATTGGGAAGTTGAAGACCTGCTTGTTAAACGATTTGGTACTCGTGGATTTCCTGTACGGCGCTATTGGCGCATGATGTACTGGATGCCTAAATTCAATAATTTATCCCCTTGGCCTATACCTAAGCCCGCACCTAATGATCCTTATGAACTAGCATTATTAGCTATCAAAAGAATTAGTAGTATAGATATTGAATCTGAAGTTAAAGTGTACAAAACTAAGCAATTAGAAGAAAGCATTGAGGATACATGGATAGTTAGTGGTCAAAGCCCTGATCAAAAAAAAATAGTTGCTAATCACCCAGAAAATGTCCCTATATATATTGAAGGAGGGTTCAGAATATGGCTTCGAAAACAGAGTATTATTTATTTCATCTTAAGAACTGAACCTTCTCCTCCAATACAAAATGAAGAAGAAGAAGATGAAGATGGTAACATAAATACACAATAAACATATAAGTATTCAAAATTACAAAGTAACATAATTAGTAATGATTTATTTTATTATTTTTAGATATTAGTAATTTTCGGGTACCGTTTTTTGATAAACCTATTCCAAAAACATCTGACAAAATTGCTAAAAAAAAAACTATACACGAGCAGGAAGATGGAACTATACTTGCAGTTGCTGCAACTGGTACATCCAGTAAAAATTCTTTATTATCTTGGGTATTTAATTTTCAACCAAATTTTACTACTCATACACTAAATTGTTATTAAAAATTGAAGATTAGGTTCTTGGAGAAGGATGGAAACCCAAGACTAACTCATATACCAATTTTATTTACAAGTAAATCACCACTTGGAAATGTGGAACCATTGTCTGAACTTGATGAATCTAAGAAAGAAGTTGAACAGTCAAAACAAAAAGTCCCCATAGAGTAAAAGTTTCATTTATAACAAGTAAGTATAATACTATTCAATAAAATAAATTTAACAAACATACAATTTTTAGCTGTTAACTGTTTTTGCTTAATATGTATATATTTGTATAGCTGTACCTATAGAAATGTTAAAAGTTCTACGGCAGCGACGAATAGTATATATTAATACAATGAACACTGAAATTTTATTTTATCTAAGTATGAAAATTCATTAGGTTAATTAGTTTGGATTTATTACACGATCAACAATTGAGTTAAAAGACATTGCCATTGGTGATTCGGGATGAGTTAAACCAACATATTTTGATGTTTCTGAAGATACTCTTGGATCTATTGGTACAGTTCCTAAAAAGGGAACTTGAAAATGTTCAGCTAATGATTTTCCACCTTTGGATGAAAACAAATTTGTACACTCCTGTAAAAAAAAAAAATAAAAAGTATAAATATTTAAATTTATAAATATTATCATTATGTTTTTTTATATTTGTTTATGGCTTAAAATCAAAAGGTTATCAACATTATTCAAATTTTAATAAATGTTTTATATGAATGACAAGTATGAGCTGTTAAGTTAATATTTTTTCAAAAACCATACATCAGTAATAATTAAACGAAATATTTAAGATATAACTTAAATTAATTAATTTTTGAATAGTTCAATATTGTTTTGTTGTATTTTTAGTTAAGTATTACAATATTATCATTACATTAGTTTTAATGTACTTATAGACAGTGTTGGGAATAGATAACTAAATTTCTATCTAGATAAAGATAAAGATAAAGAATAAATATTTTATCTAGATAAAGATAGAGATAAATAAATTTAATTTTTATCTAGATAAAGATAATTAAACAACCATTTTATCTAGATAAAATTAAGATAAATTGTATAATATGAAAATTTATATTTTTTCGCAATAGATATTTAACTGTTCTATTTTCATAACCAACACAACCATAGAATTCAGTGTCCTTTTAATAGAGCAGAGAGATCTGGATGAATAATAAATATAAAATAGGTATTAATTTTAATTATTGTATATAACTATATAAGGGTAGAATAATAAATCACAGTTAGTAACTTACTATTTATCTATTCTGTGCTACTATCTACTACAAATCAAGTCTTATTTTTAAGGTAGAAACAATAGTAAAACTTTCATTTAAAAGAACATTATTATGATATAATTAATAAACTTTCAAATCATGTGAAAAAATCTTTTAATTTTAAATTTTAATCAACACAATATTATGTAAAAATAGGTACCTGTTTATAATTTATCTAAATATCTAGATACGTAAATTGTTTATCTAAGATAATTTCTTAAGATAATTGTCAACAGTTTATTTATATTTATATAGATAAGATAAAGATAATTTTATTATTTATCTAGATAAATTATCTAGATAATCCCAACACTGCTTATAGATACCAATATTTTAATTAAAACCAAATACTAATTTACAGTTTCTTTTAAGAAAAATATAAATTAAGAAACAAGTATACCTAGTATTTCAATGTAATATTTAAGCGACATATTAACTCACAGAACAATTAGGGCAAACAAATCCGCTCATGTTCTCGACAATACCTAGTATCGGAATACCAGTTTTACGACAAAATGACAACTCTTTTCTGACATCATCTAAAGCAATTTGTTGTGGAGTTGTCACAAGTATTGCTCCATCACATGGAGCTTCTCTAAAATTATGAAGACATTAATTAAGTATGTACTTAAATCTTCAGTTAATAAATAAATAATATTATAATATACTTAATATTCTCCATAACTGTTATGTGCTCGTCGGATGTGCCTGGTGGTGTATCAATAATTAAATAATCAACGTCTTCCCAGAAAACATCAGAAAGCAATTGTTTTATGAATGCTGTTTAAGACACACACACACACACAAACATACATATACACATGTATATAAAGATATCATTAAACTATTTTAAATTACAAACCAGTCTTTTTTGGCCCTCTCCACACTACGCTGTCATTTCTGGATTTGGTCAAGAATCCAATTGAAAGCACACCTAAAGATTTTGACTCATCTGTATAAACTGGTACCCAACCAGCCTCACATTGATGTACCTCTTGGTTTTCGAGTTTTAACAAAAACGGTACTGATGGACCACATAAATCTACATCCAATATACCAACCTAAATAAATTAAATGTTAATATTGCAATTTTTAAATGAATTTTTAATACTTAATGTACTGTGTTAAAGCATTTTAATAAAAATAAATTATGCCAAAAACAAAGTGTTTTCAAAAAGAAAGATATCAAGGTTTAGTTTACAGCTATGGGCTAATATTTCTGTATTTCATCATTTCATCTTTTGTACAGTTATTAGAAGCTTAATATTTATCTTATGAATTTAAAACACCATCAATCTGTAACTAATCATAATTGAAAATGAATAATGATGATCTTACCCGGTATCCTTTAGCTACTAATCCAAGTGCCAACTGGGTACTCACAGTTGATTTACCAACTCCTCCTTTACCAGACATCACCAATATAATATGTTTCACGTTTGATGGCATTTTGTCAACTACCTTTACAGACAAATCTTAGCATAAAACTGAATTGTTTGTAAGTTAATTTTGAAATAACAATCAAATATTATTATCAACATGTAAATACTGAGTATGATAAATTCTAAGTGCAAGATTATCAGAACATATCCAACATACGTATTTGCAAATAATTATAATTTATAAAGCATAAATTACTGTTTAACAATTGGTAATATATTAACATAGAACACTTAATACTTTAAACAATCTTACAAGTTATAATTTATAAAATATAAATTATAGGAACAGGCAAGTGGCAGAGATAAAATAATATACTGGCGAACAAGGTCTTATCAATTCCCCACTACCCCCGGCATAAGGTTATTATTGATATAGAATCACAGAATAGATTAAATCACAATTCATATTGATAATTTAGGCATGGGTGAGAGTAAATAAAAGAAATATTCTTGGCTTCAAAAATAAAAAAAAATTGAGAGGTTAAAATTCAGTGATAAGTAGTTTTTAAAACTCGTTTGAAAATCCATCTGATAGTAACTAAATATGTTTTTGAGATTTTATTTTGCGTTCCTTATATTTTATCAAAAACTCTTGAAAGTTGAATGTGTTCAAACAACACCTTACAGACAAATGTAGAATGTATTTTAGGAAATTAAATATAAGCCACTATAGTAGGTAGGTACAACAAATGTAAATAAATTATCCAAAGATGTAAATTAATTTTTTTTTTTTATGTACTTTAGCGCTGTCTAACAACAAAAAGATCAACAAAACTTGAAATGGTCTGACGCCGACAGATGACGCTACAGTTATCGTTTGGGCACGTTGTCCGATATAATATCTTAAACCATTGTACTTTTGTATTACGTCGTTCGATCAGTATTAAGAACTAATGAATCTATTTAGCAACTAGAGTTGATATTAGGGGTCTTTATCACCCCATTAAATCCAAGCCATAATTCTTGATTTTACATAGATATTTCAATATTTGATGTTAATAAGTAGATATTGTGTGTTTTCTATTATCCAAATTCATTATTTTATGTATTGAAAATTAGTTGGATGGATGAGTACCTAATAGTCGTCAGTTATTAACAATTTTTTTGGTTAGTTAAGTGATATTAGCAGTAGGTAGCTTAGTTGGTAGTTATTAGTTAATTAGTACCTAGTACCAAGTACCAACTACCATTTGAATGGTAGTGTATCATGTATTCATGTGTGGTATTTTGTTATGAAATTAACTTTCACATTAGTGAACAAATGTATTTGATTATTTTTGTATTTTAATTTTAATATCCACAAATCACAGTAAAAATAACTAAAAAGTAAAAATACTATGGATAATTTCATTTTATTATGTTTTCTATTATCATTTGACGTTCAGTGCTTAGTAGCAACCAAGACACCAAGTGCACGCTATAGCCTTATAGGTTTATAGCATGGTTTAAACTTTCAGGAGCAGTTCATTTCTTCTTTGTGCGTTTTAATGAAACCATAATAGGTTCCTATTCGATTATCAATCATGCAATGTCAAACACATTTTTTTTTTATAAACATTTATCAAGTTAAAATTTGGACAAAATTAGATATAGAACGAAGAATAACGATGTTAGTTAATTCAAAAACAATATTTGGATGGACCTTTACATATATTATAAATTGTACCTATTATAAGCAATGGCATTAATTAAAAAATATTTAAATTAATTTTAAGCTATTATACATATTTATACAATTATACTATGGGCCTATTCACACTATATTTCCGGTAGGAGGTATTGTCTCAAAAGTTAAAAACAATCAAGATTTTCAAGAAAGAATTTGGAGTGTATCGGTACGTATCGGATCAATTTTGAGCGTTCAAGATGTTACACGTGTAATATACAAGCGATATGTACCGACCCGTATCGGACTCGGACTCTGATACGAGGTGGTACGTAAGTACGTAACTATTCCGTATCGATAGTCGATACGTATCGAATTTTTCTTCTTGAAAATCTTGAGAAATGTAATATGATAGACTATAGAAACATAAACTAATATAATAATTAAATATTAACTAATATAATAAAATAAATGGAATGTTTTCAAAATAAAACCAACCTATAGAACAGTACCTAGTACCTACTCGCTACAGTGATGTACTAAGTAACCAGGCACGGATCCAGAGCAGAAATCTGGGAGGGGGGGGGCAACAATTTTTTTACAACACAAATAAAATTATTATCCTTTATTCTTAATTTAACAATTTTGTTGTAATAGAAGGCATCAATGTGATGAATAAAATAATATTTTTATATTAAATAACAAAGTCTAAATGCCTTTTTACATTGTCACTTTTTCCAAATCTGTCAATTATTTGGTCAATGCTTATTTCAACTTCCCTATGAACATTTAGTAAACATAACGAAGTTAGGCGATCCTCCTGCATTCTAGAGCGTAGCCAGGTTTTTACCCGTCTCAGGGTAGAGAAACTTAAAATATGTATATGTCTTATGTCTGGGGGGGCTGGGCCCCTAGGCCCCCCTGGATCTGTCCCTGTAAGTAACTTAGTCACTTTAATAACAATATCACATTAATTACATTTTATTGAAAACATATTATCATGTAAATAATATTATGAAATATATAGGTTGATAGACCGTCCCCGCTCAGAATCGTTTTTCGTATACAAATATAGGTACAATGATATATTATTGAATTCAACTTTATCATCCATTACTGTGAAATATTCGAAACCTACTGTGCAGCAGAGCAATACCCAGTTGCCAACCTTTTTTTTTGTATTATTTACCATGATTATAACAATATTGAATTTAACAAATTTATTTTATAGATTATATGGATTGATTATTTTGAAGGATGACATGTACACTTATAATTATTGATCATTGATCATTAAAAAAGAAATGCAAATTAAATATAAAACAATTCAAATATAATAATTTACAAGTCGCACCTTCCATATGATGTAAAATGCATCAATAGAGTTGAGTATTTTAGGTAGGTACATTATAATAATAGCAATAAGTATGTAGTTTTTAAAAGTAATTTTTGTATGCATTTAATCGTGGTTGAAATATATAGGTTATTGCATACAGATTTGGATTATCATCATAAACAAAGTAGTTGTGTAAGAGATATCACAAATATTAATATTTTTCTTATCGTGAAAAATCTCTTAACGCTGCTCTTTTTGTGTTTATCACCAAATGGGTATTGTAATAACCTTGTGTACTTCAATCATGATGGGCATTTAATATTTGAAATATCTTTTAATAAAATAGTATACACTCAAGTTATTGTAGTGATCATTGATTATATTGAGAAGTTGTAATGTTCCGTACCTGAGTATGTTATGAAATATAAAATATATAGAAGTAAAATGTTCCACTAACATTTTTTTAATATGGAAAATTCTGCAAAAAACAATCTGACCTCGACGTGATTTGAACACGCAACCTTCTGATCTGGAGTCAGACGCGCTACCGTTGCGCCACGAAGTCGTTGGAATAAAAGGTTAAATTAAAGTTATTTAACTATAACAAGTATTGTAAAAATAAATCATTATTATTTATTTGTTATTAACTACTAAAATTATTAATACACTTATAAATGATATATCTCTATAATACACTTACTACCAAGTACCAAAAGGTTTGTGATTGTTTATTTGTATGCTTAGAGCGACTACACGCCTATAAATTATAATACAGTAGGTAGGTGTAAGTGTATAACCATTGGTCATTGATTATGAATACCAGAATACATACTGGGTAGGTTCCTATATAGTATAACACTGACACATTGCGGTCGGCGGTCGTTATAGAGTACAGCCGTCAGCTGACCTCATTTCTCATAAAGTCATACATTTAGCCCTTAGGGCTTTAGATAATATGTAAGTAATAAGTTATAAATATATTGTACAAACTCTGAAGTAACTATTAAAAGGGTATAACTAATGATATTATTATGTGTCAACATTATAGAGTTATCGTTTTCCATCTAATGATTAAATAAATTTGATTTTAATTAATTATATTATTATTTAGAGATACATTTGATATAGGTACCTACTACCTACCCTATGCACTTTACATTAGTACATTACCTACTGTTATTCCCTATAGGCTAGAGAGGCTCAGTTGAATATATTTGAAAATCACATACCTACCGACATAATTATTAATAATTAAAATAATTAAATCAATCAACAAACCGTACTATTGCTAAATTCAATGCAATAATACTAGGTACCTACCTTGGGGCTTGGTATTATATTATTCAATATTCACATAATATTGTTGTAATTAAAATTAAAACCTGCAGTACTGTCGGCTGTCATCCACGCGGCCGTTGTTATATTATTCCGCTAGCACCTACAACTGTAGTGAAACCCACCTACAGCCTAATTTGTAATTAGTAATGGAGATGGAGCCTGTTCGGCTGTTTGTATAGAATATAGGTAGTAGACCCTAGGGGCGTATGTAAACTCCGCTACTGAAGAAAATTAGGTAGGTAACAGTAAAAAGTTATTATATAATATATTATTGTTAAAAACGAAAAATTTACAATTTTTATAACAATAATTGTCGGTCGTCCACATTAAATAATAGTTACACGTATAATATGTTAAAATATATACCAAACTTAAAATAATAATTTATTGTCCCAAAAAATCATATAAATTGAATGATTTGAATGTGTATTTCATCAAAAAATCATGACAAATAATCGTAATAATCATAAAATATGTAGATTATAGGTACCTAACATATATGTTATGTATTAATATTTTTATATTATATTAACTATATGAACTAAAACGATGTGATAGGCACAATTTGATAAAATAGATATTCTAATTCTAATATGAATCCATTGTTACAACTATTTATAGTGTTCTCTAACATACTATACATTTTTTTTGATATTGAGTTATTGAGTTTATTGTGTTGAGATATATAGTTATACATAATTTTGGATTTGAAATTCGATAAGCGCTCCATTAAAAATATGGACATTTGGACTGGACAGGGTGACTTATGTAAAATTAATTTTAGATGATTATGAGAATATGAGATGATGCAAAAGCATTTGTAGTTTGATTTAAATTTGCACTTTGATCAGCCCACTAATGAAAACCAATAAATTGCCTCTTTGATCAGTAATTAATTTTATCTCCTACATATTACGTTAGACAATTAGATAAATGTCAATGTATATAAATATAAGCACTAGAAAACACGGACTGAAGAACACTACGAAAGATTATCTGATTATATTTGTCAACGTATAGGAGGTA